ATCAAGGGTATCGATACCTCCTCAAGGTACCGATACCAATCTGGAATTCAATGTTTCAAGGTATCGATGTCATCCTTCAGGTATCGATACTACCCCTTACAGTAACAATACCTCTTCAACATGTATCGATACTACCCTTAACAATTTCATAGATTTTGCCCTTGAAGTATCAGTATTATTCTAATGATATCGATACTCCAAGCCCAGATTTGCCATTCTTACTTCGAAATTCACCCAAAAACCTTCCTAACTCTCATATATAAACCCTCCATAAGCCTTAAAACTCACTCTTATACTTCCACACCAATTAGTCTTCATTTTCTACTTCGCATTATCCCAATTCCAGTTTGAACACTTGAATCTCAAAGTCAAACCAAATTTTCGAACATGTTCTTAGACATATCTAACACTTAACTCTTAAGTGTAATCCTTGACAAGTCAATTATCTAATTAAAACTTCAAAAACTACTCCAAATCAAAATTTTATTTCAAAACCCATTTTATAAATTCATCTCTAAAACACTCATCTGGTTGTTTTAATATTATATAAGCTTTTCTTAAGCTCATATAATACCAAAATTTCCATTATCAAACCAAAGATTAAAATAAAACTACAAAATCCAAAATTCTTACCTTTAAAGGGGGAGCTCACGTAGAAGAACAAAAGCAAGGAAGTATTTCTAGACACTTCTCTCTTTTCCAACAAACTTATCCAATAAAAAAGCAGTTAAATATCCTTCCCTACAATTTACCATTTTACCCTTGTTAACCATCCATACTTGCTATAATACCCAACACAAAATTCCTCCATAAATCATTGAATTATCACATTATTCTAGTTCAACCACTAAGTTTAGAAGTTCTTACATTTTGGTCATTGGCCCGATGATTGGGATGTTACAGATGTTATGATCCAAAAGCTTCAAGATCACCGTTTTAGATATAATTGCTTCCATTAATTTATAAGATCCTCATTCGTTAAATCAAGGTTTTTACCCTCCACAACTTGGCTAGCGTTGGATTGATCCTTATCATTGGAAATACCATCCATAATTGAAGCGTAGGAGGGAAGAGTTTCCATTGTTGTATCCACGGGCTCTACGGCCATCTCAGCATCCTAAGCGTCTCCAGGATCTGGTGGTTTCAAATGTTCGGCTATGTCATCCACGACCATCACAAAATCATGGTTGTCTCCTGGATCTAGAGGATCCATTTGTCCCGCTCTGGCTTCCTCGGAAATTTTTGATTGGACATTAGAGTTGCTAATTGAGAGCATTATAGATTTTTCCTAACATTCATAAAAATTTTCGATGCTAAAGAGAGATTTGTTTTTTATCATTAATGGATACATTTTTTATCATTAAATTTTGAAATATAAAAGGGATAAATTATTTACCTAAATAAATAAAAGGGTAAATTATCTTGTTAGCTATTGAAATTTAGTTTGTGTGCTAAATCACTAAACTTGAAAACCCTTCAATTTTAGCACTAATTTTTTTATATTGTCTTTTTTGTTACTGGATTGTTAAATCTTTAACAACATGATTTCTTTCTCCTTTTTCTACAAAATATTGTCAACTCCTATCATTGTTGTTGTCCAATCGTTGTCTATCATCGATTGCAATTTGCGACAATATTAGTAACAAAATATTGAGATTTTACCTCTCTTTGTTCTCATTTGATTGATTTTTCATGGAACACAATCAAAATCGTAAAAATCTATTTAATGATTTGACATTCAAAAGCTTTGATCTCCTTTGATAGTATTTGATAAGCTTAGTTTTAAGAAATATTGTTCACCTTCTTGAAAGAATGCTTCTCACCATTTTAATTTTCAAGCAAACGTCCAAAGCCCTCAAATAGAGAAAGTCTATAGATCTTATAAATGATAGATTTTTCTGTGTAATTTCATGAGTTCTAAAGAGTATTAGGGAAAATCTAAACGATAAAGTGATGGAGGACGACAAGACAAATTCATCGCTATCTAGGATGATCGCAAAAGACGTCAAAGAATAATGATTTTTATGATGGTTGAAAATGGTTTGAAACCCCTAATATCCATGAAAAAGATGATGAGGTAGAATAAAAAATTATTTTGTTAGCTTCATTCTCAACACATCAACACCAAACCACCACACCATCTGAGCTTTAATGACTTAACAATTTAATAACCAAAAAAGATAATGTTGGAAATTAAATGCTAAAGTTGAAATGTTTTAAAGTTAATGATCTAATTGATATATAAATTAAAGCCCAATGACTAATGCGACAGTTTACCTCACATAATAATAATATTTGTAAAAATTAATGAAGCTTACTAAGTTGTCTTGTAAATAAATGTTAAATGCTTGGATTAGGGACTAGGATGTCAAAGCATATGGTTCAAAACTCTAAATCTTATTCATGGTAGCAAATTGAATTTTTGCATTTCGAAACTTTTGTGGCTCTCAATAATTTCAGAGTGTGTAAAAGTCCTTAGTTGACATCTTTCTCTTTATTTTTTTTTTTTTGTATGATGTGTTGATATGGATAGATGGAAGGGACCTTTGTGATTTTCTATACTTTAGACAACAATAAAATGATAATAGTTGAGTCTACGTAATACAAATATTCAAATTATTACTTACCCTTGTTGTTATAAATATGATTAGATTTATGATTAATTTAATAATTTTATTTAGAAAAGTGTTAAATGATATTTTGATTATTAAAGTTGTATTTTTTATCATTTTTGTATTTAAAGAATTTTTCTATTGTCAAACTAAATCTCTATATTTTTCATCCCGGATGCACATTGTTTAACCTCATTCAAAAAATGTTAATTTTTTCCTTTTTATAATAAAAAAAATTAAAAATAGAAAAATCCATACAGATCTTAGATTTTATAATTTTTTTAAATAAGGTATTTTTCCTTTTATAATTTATTCATACTGCAAAATGTATAACTAGTTTTTTTTAAAAATCCAAACAATACAAAAAAATTTTTGTCTTTCTAAACAAATATTATGCAGAAAAGTTTATTGAAGTTTTTAAAAAATAATATATTTTTAAAAATACATATAATTTAAATAAATGATTTTAAAAAAAATACAACAACAATCCCAAAAAATATAACAATTGAATATATTAACATTTTTTTGTTTCTATCTATTTTTATATTTTAATAATTGTATATAAGAAATTCATCAAATGACTTTAGTGATAAAATGAACTGTAATTTATCTTGAGGTCATAAATTTAAACAATTACATTTGTAGAGTATGTATATATTGTTAATAACTAAAAGTATATTTAAATTATATATATTCTTATAAAAATAAAAATATAGTGTTTAGTTAAAAATATATATATTTTACATTAAACAAAATTTAATATAAATATATATATGAAAAAATAAAAAATAAAATTTTAACTTCGATTAGTGGTTAAGTCTCTATCTTACACCTAGGTTCTAAGATCAAATCCCTTTAAATTCTACTGAAATACAATTTAATCTATATATTATCAATTATGATTTAAATATTGAGCTTAACTCAATGATTAAGCACATCCAAATAACTTTTTTTCCATTGTACTAAAAGATTAAATTTATTAAATTGTTTTTAATTAAAATTAGAATAAATTAATAGATAATATAAATAATAATGACCAAATATTTATTACATATTTTTTTAAATATCACGTTTATAATTCTATCAATAGTTAATATTTGATGGCTTAATTAAAATCAAATTAAAAGTTCATTAACCTAATTGACAATAGCTTTAATTTATTGGTCAAAAAAGAATCGAGACAATAGTTTAATGACCTTATATTAGTTTACTCAAAAAGTTTATACCTGCGTAAAGTAACATTGGATAATTTTGATTCGACCGTCAGTTCGTCACCAACCAGACTTTATATGTCAAATGACTATTTTACCCTCATTTCTATGATTGATTTTTTTTTAGGTTTTTCAGTAATTGAATTATTTAATCGGAAAAAATTAGAAAATATATATAATAAAACGAATTATTACACCTACTAAAATGTAAGAGGCCGATATATTACCAAAATGTAATTGCACTATTGATTAAATATTACTTATATATAATTATAAAATTCATAAAACAAAGAGAATAAAAACATTATATAACCTACCATTCTAAGGACGATTAGGTAATTTAATTAATTTAAAGAAGATAAATTCTTCATTCTTTTAATCCTATCATCGTGAAAAGATTTTTCTCTTTAGAATATGAATATTATATTTTTCATATATATATATATATATATATATATATATATATATATATATATATATATATATATAGTTTCAAGTGATTATAAAATAATATCTATTCAAATTTTTTAATTAATTTAAAACATACACACATTTTAAAGATATAGTTTTTAGACATCAAAATCTAGAGAATAATTTCTAATATATATATATATATATATATGTGTGTGAGAGAGAGAGAGAGTTGTGATCTACTTATATAATATAATATATTTTAAATTTTATATAAATTTAAGATTGTTAGATAAATAAAAATAAAGTATTGAGATTAATTTCTTATTTATTTTTCTAATGAATATCTTATTTCCTCCTTTAAACTCAATAGTTTTTTCATTAAGCTAAGGTGATTACAAAGTAGTATATGTTTTAAATATTTTTAATCATCTGACAATTTATGCTCAATCATCCTGCTGCAGCCGCTGGTGCTCAAACTAATGACCTCGAAAAATAACAACGATTCCTTTAACTACTAAGGTAAATTGATTCTTGCAACCCAGTATTTAATTTACACTCATTCCATAATACTAAATTTGTGAAAACATATTTTTATATTATTGAAATGAGATTATAATACTAAAAATTTATTTATAAATAATTATTTTAATATTTAATATTTTTTATTTAAAAGTATATAAAAATAAAAGAATCTTATGATAATCCATTGAATAGAGTATTTAAAACTATTTTAAGACCAAACTCCGAAAGATTCAATATCTGACTCTGAGTTGAGACAAAAAATCGCCGAACCAAAGAGAAATATCTAAGCCATGGCTTTGCAATTGTGGGAGACTTCGAAGGAGGCGATAACGGCGTATACGGGTCTATCTCCGGCCACTTTCTTCACTGTTCTTGCTGTGTTGTGGGCCATTTACTATGTAATAACGGGTCTATTCGGGTCCTCCGGTGATCACCATCAACGCTCCAGGGCTTTGGAGGAGCAGATGGAGCCGCTCCCACCTCCGGTTCAGCTGGGCGAGGTATCCGAGGAGGAACTTAAGCAATATGATGGGTCGGATCCCAAGAAGCCACTCCTCATGGCCATCAAAGGACAGATTTATGATGTTTGTCAACAACAACAACAAAATCATATTTCCAAATGTAATTGGGGTAAGGGGTAGAGTAGTTGGCTGTCCCCAATGTCAGGTTGAGAACAATTTCCGTGGAAGACTTCCGACAGTTATAAAATTTAAAAATAAAGATAAAATGTAGTGCATGTATAAATAAATATATAAATACATAGATTAACAGTCTTCATATGCAGTCTTCATATGCGCGTCTGTAATAGGAAGTAATCCCTGCAAATGAATCCCTACGTAAAAATCTATGTATATAGACAGAAACGTTAGATCCGACAAAATTTAAAAAGATGAAACCATGACGAGAATGATACACAATAGTCAACGATAACAAGCAACGAGAAGGAATAAAGTCAAAATGAGTTAAAACCTAAACTAAGTCAACACTACTCCGCTACACTAGTTCTAAACCTTCATAAATTCCAATGACAGAGACGATAAAAAAATAGAAGTCATGGAAATTACTACAAAGTCATTAAAAGAAGACAGAGATGATACACCCTATGGATGTGACATGCACTACTCGACTACCCTGAACTTAAGTCTCCATACTTTCCTATCAGAGGTCATGTACTCGGTAAGGGCTAAATTTATCTTTTCTTCTTTGGGATGAAATTTAAATTCAATTTGAATTACTTATATTTTATCGATTGAAATTACTACTGAAAAATCAAACAAAATATTATATAGTAAAATAAAATATTGAATGCTAAACAAAAAAAATATTTTATAAGATTAAATAAAAAATATAAAAAATATAAAAATTAGAAAATAATAATAATAATAATTTTTATTCTAAAATGAATAACATGTTAAAGGATCTCTTAGTAATTAAAAAAATATCAAACACACAAAATTAGTGATTAAAATAAAATTATTATAAAATTAAAAGAACAAAATAAAATAACATAATTTACATTAGTGACCAAAATAAAACATACATAAATTTTTAGGACATATTCAAATAAAAATATAAATTAGTGACTAAAATGTAAAAAATAAAATAACATTAGATAATCAGAAACTAATAGTATTTAAATTAAAATAAAATAAAACAGAATGACAAAATTGCAATAAATTAGAAACTAAAGGTCCAGTGATCAAAATGCAACAAATAATAAAATAACTACTAAATTATAACAAATAAAATAGCAAAAATAATGACCAAATCGAAATTTAATAAAACCAATATGCATATTCGAAACAAATAACAAAGTAAATAATCAGAATACAAAAGAAACTAAAATACGGGGAGCTTAAAAGTGATTTTACCCTGACAGTGAACAAAGCATAAAATACGCTGAAACTGGGAGGACTTTGAATGCGATTTGACTCTAAATTAGGCGAACAAAGTATAAATATCCTAAAAACCAGGGATCTGATACATGATTTACCCTTTTTCTACATCAACATAATATATCCCCTGTTTTACGTGAATCAACCCTGAAACCTGCAAACAACAAACTCTCTTGATTGTTGCACCCCGGTTCCGTCTCCGGTGGTCGTTGGCCACCAAAATTTACCGAGAGACTCGTCTCGACGCGGTGGTCACTGATCTGGGCTCCGTTTCGTCAGGGGGCACTCCGAACGTCGTAAAATGGCCAAAGACCGCACAGTTTTTCCAGGCTTTGATCTCCGTCGTCTGCCGTTGGATCGGGCCCAAATTTCAGTATTCTGCTCCCCTCCTCGAGATGTTTCTTCTCACCGTTTGGATCGGTGAACCGACCCTCGGAATGCCGGCAATGCTCTGGTAAACGATAAAATACCATTTTTTCCCTTCTTTTTGTTATTATTTTTTTATTTCAAAAGCTAATAAAAAGAAAATAAACGTAAATACCAGAAAATTCTTTGAACATTTTTTGGTTTTATTATTTTTGAATCTGAATCCAACCTCCCATTACATTTTTTCTTTCGGGGTTATATAGCTCGATTTGTACATTTTTTCTTGTTTTTTTTCAACATGCTTGGAATATATTGTGTATTTTTTTGACTTTGGCTTGATTTTTGGTTGTTGGTGATGTAGGCGATGACGATGGCGACTTCCAGAAGGCTTGACGGCGCTGGAACGTTTGACTGATTTTTAAAAAAAAACCCGGACAAAACGGGTGTCTACAGCTGCCCCTCTTTACACATTCTTGTGTCAACAAGAATAGGGCAAAGATGAAAAAGATAACTAGTTTTTGTCCGATTATCTTTTTTTTGGAGAACAACTGTAATTGGGCATCAGGTTGAGCCTGAAATTGGGCTTTGGTCTTCTTCTCGATTTAAAGACCTCGACTTCAACCAGAAAGTAGTTTCTCGATGCTACCATGTGGTTGATGTGTCATAGAGCTTAATGAAATCGAACTCGTTAGTTTTTGCTGACAGATAGCCCTTCTCGTCTTGAGATATGCTGTAAATTTGATATGCCTCTGAGTTGAATGTAATCGAACTCGAAGGTCTTTGATTACAGATAATCATTCTCGCCTTGAGTTATGCTACAAATGATATGCCTTTGAGCTGAGGGTAATCGAACTCGAAGGTATTTTGTTGGCAGATAGCCCTTTTCGCCTTGAGCTATGCTGCAAATGATGTGCCTTTGAGCTGAGTGTAATCGAACTCGAAGGTCTTTTGATGACAGATAACCCTTCTCGCCTTGAGTTATGCTATAAATTATGTGCATTTGAGCTGAGTGTAATCGAACTCGAAGGTCTTTTGTTGGCAGATAGCTATTCTCGCCTTGAGCTATGCTGCAAATGATGTGCCTTTGAGCTGAGTGTAATCGAACTCAAAGGTATTTTGATGACAGATAACCCTTCTCGCCTTGAGTTATGCTACAAATGATGTGCCTTTGAGCTGAGTGTAATCAAACTCGAAGGTCTTTTGATGACAGATAACCCTTCTCGCCTTGAGCTATGATGCAAATGATGTGCCTTTGATCTGAGTGTAATCGAACTCGAAGGTCTTTTGTTGGCAGATAACCTTTCTCGCCTTGATCTATGCTGCAAATGATGTGCCTTTGAGCTGAGTGTAATAGAACTCGAAGGTCTTTTATTGGCAGATAACCCTTCTTGCCTTGAGTTATGCTGCAAATGATGTGCCTTTGAGCTGAGTGTAATCGAACTCAAAGGTCTTTTGTTCGTAGATAACCCTTATTGCCTTAAGCTATGCTGCAAATGATGTGCGTTTGAGTTGAGTGTAATCGAACTCGAAGGTCTTTTGATGACAGATAACCCTTCTCACATTGAGTTATGCTACAAATGATGTGCCTTTGAGTTGAGTGTAATCGAACTCAAAGGTCTTTTGTTGGCAGATAGCTCTTCTCGCATTGAGCTATGCTGTAAATGATTTACCTTTGAGCTGAGTATAATCGAATTAGAAGGTTTTTTATTGGCAGATAACCCTTCTTACCTTGAGCTATGCTGCAAATGATGTGCCTTTGAGCTGAGTGTAATCGAACTAGAAGGTCTTTTGTTGGCATATAGCCCTTCTTGCCTTGAGTTATGCTGCAAATGATGTGTCTTTAAGCTGAATGTAATCGAACTCGAAGCTCTTTTGATGACAGATAACCCTTCTCGCCTTGAGTTATGCTGCAAATGATGTGTCTTTGAGCTGAGTGTAATGGAACTCGAAGGTCTTTTGTTTGCAGATAACCCTTCTCGCCTTGAGCTATGCTACAAATGATGTGTCTTTGAGCTGAGTGTAATTGTAACACCCCCAACCCGTCCGACCTGGATACGAGTCCGAAGTGTCACATTGACTTTTCAAACATTTATTCGTATAAAATAGTGAGTAATTTAAAAACTTTGATAACATTTAACTTATTCAAAACGTTTACAAAATATATCAGAGTTCATACAATTTATATCTTTAGACTACATGCCAACTACACTCTATAAACAGTACATATATTTTATGATCTGACATTTGGTAAGGAGAACTGACCTGTCTTGCTCCGCATTACTCTTTACCCTTCTCGAAACATACGTATGAAATAATCACACGCTAAGTCGAAGACTTAGTGAGGCATAAAAACTTATAATGCACTTTATAACATATATCAATACATGAATGTTCTGTTCTATCATGTTATACCAAATTACATGCTTTCTTCGTATCATATAAAATTATATCAGATTAATTACAGTAAATACATACATACACATAACTCATCATTAACAGTTCATCATGTAATCACATACTTTTATGCTTAGCCTTTTCAATCAAACACTATACACACACAACATCATATCATTTCTATAACATTTATCATATCACTAACATATATTTGTTTATATCTCTTGATTAGCCCATGTACATATGTGAGAACTATAGATATGTGAGTTTATGGAGGTTGTGCACTAATGCTGTCACCACAGCTCATATAAATGCACCGAAGTGCCACATAGAATTGCACCATAGTGCCGCGTAGAATTGCACCGTAGTGCCATATAATAATGTCCATAAGGACCACATATCATTCATTAAGAATCATATACATATACTAGGGATCAAGTATGCGTCTCACCAGACTTCACACATGTTCCAAAGAATACATATATGTCCCGAAGGACCACAATGTCCCGAAGGACCACATATCATTCCTTAAGAATCATATGCCAATGATCAAGTATGTGTCTCACCAGACTTCACACATGTTCCAAAGAATACATATATGTCCCGAAGGACCACAATGTCCCGAAGGACCACATATCATTCCTTAAGAATCATATACATATGCCAAGGATCAAGTATGTGTCTCACCAGACTTCACACATGTTCCAAAGAATACATATATGTCCCGAAGGACCACAATGTCCCGAAGGACCACATAGACCCTCGACTCTTGGCATGCCAACTATACCCCTAGCTCTCATGACACATAACATGGGCATTGTCATTTAACAGTTCACATTACTTATTCATATCATTTCCTTTCTGTCACGTACCACATGTACGTGTAATCATTGATCTTACAATCACATATTTCATATAGTCACTTGGCTTATTTCATTTCACATTGGGCATATCTCATAGCACATATCACACATGCGTATAATCATGTAACATATATAATAACCTATATCCATTTCATGTATCCATGCCCATATCAAAATCATAAATCAAATAACATTGTGTTATTACATACTTTGTTCCATAGCCATATATTTACATACCTTATACTTACCTAGTTTAATCTATTTCACACATAGTCACATAATCACGTAATTTACTTACGCATAGATCATTTTCATACCTAAATCATATAACACCCAATTCTTTCTCATAAAGTTATATGTTATATTCATATAATATCATATTATCCTATAAGTAAATACTTATCTTATGGTTTGGAATCATCATTTATACTCAATTCCCTTCACTAATATATTATTCTCATATTACTCTATAGTCTAATCTTATTTAACTCATCACCTTTCTCATGTAGTCATATAAATCTATTATATAAATTCTTATAATTGATCACTTATACTATTAACATGTATGGCCACTTATCATATAACCTATTTCACATTCCCATGCAATCATATAGAACATTCATATTAATTCCTATACTTATCACAATACATGTATTCACACAATCATTTAACACATGTTGTAATATATATCACATATATCCAAATCAAACATATGCCTATGATAATAAATTAATGCATTATAATATAGGAAATAGACTCATCGCAAGTCTTATTTCCATTAAACATCATAAACTAACTTGTATGCACTCACCTGGCCTCACTAGTCCATTCCAATCTCTTATCTTCCCTTTTATCGATGTTACTTGCCAATGATTCCGGAACTCGTTTAGGCTCTGAATCTACATAATTATACATTTTAAGACAATTATTAGATACCTACACCTTGTAATTTGATACTAGCAACTTAAACGAACTTATTAAACCCATATTCACAATTTTCCGTTAGGGGGAATCGGTTCCCTCCTGTGGGGGTATCGGTTCCCCCATGACATTCTGGAAATTTTATTCGCTTGAAGGGGTATCGGTTCCCCTTGAATGGGTACCGATTCCCCTAGCCCAGAATTACATTTTTGAACTCAAAAATCCCTTCATTTTCAGCTTCATACCTCATACTTCACTTCCCTTAATATTCCTATTTTTCATACACATAATTAAACTCGTTTCTAATCCATAATCACTTCCTTAAACTCAAAATCCTATCTTTTACATGATATTCAAGAATCATACTCAAATACCAACATGTTCTAACTTTAATTCTATCACCTTATACTTCTTAATTAGCTTGATAACAAGTCAAATCCAACTTCAAATTCTTATTATGACCTCTAATCCAATATTTCATTCAATGGCTTCTAACCTTTAATCTCCCTTAACTTACAATTCTTTGAGTTTCTACAACTCTTTTTCCTTCTATAATCTTTCTTAAGGCTTCCATAATTAAAACCATGCTTGAATTTGAAGGATTAATCAAGAGAAATTAAACTCACCTTAGCTTGGGCTCTTCACGTTGAAGAAGAAAAAAGAATCAAGAGTTATCTGGAAACTCTTGTTTCTTTCACTTGGATATTATAACACCCATTATCTATTATTTAATTATTACCTTTGCTCAATGACCCTTTTACCCTTTTAGTTCTTATTCACTTAATAATTCATCCTACCCAACATCTTTAATTAATTCCTTCACTTTTCGATTAATTGAATTTGATCACTGACATTTTAAAATCTTACACTTTAATCACTAACCCGGTATAGAGGATGTTACAAATCTCCCCTCCTTATAAGAAAATTCGTCCTCGAATTTTCACTGCACATCTTAATAAGAACATATCTTCTAATGTTCTTATATTGCTTCTCTGACTTATTCTTTCTTGTCATCATCAGAAACTTACTTTTCAATCCTTTAGTTTTCCAACTATCTTTTTCGTTTATACATTCATCTTCTGTTGCTTATCATATAAACAATAACCAGTAATACCAATCCATTGTTGTCTTTTCTCTCATTCGATTATGCATTTTTCCTTTGACCTTTCTAAAATTCCATATAATGTCACTCATCACGTTGACAGTAACATCCAT